TTCTTCAGGCTTTGGGGGATCCTGGAAACCTGTGGCTTAACACAGGGACAGTGGTCAGGATGTGAGGGCGTTAGCTATGAGGAAACTTCCTAGAAAATTGAGAACATATGAAAGTCCTAAACTAATAGTTTATCTGTGCTGAGCATCCTCAAATGGTAGCATATTACTCTAAGAGCATTTTAAAAAGACTCCTCCTGGAGATAATAAAACCAAGTGCAGTGTGAAATCTAAGACCAGACTTCTGGGTGGTGATGTAGGTAAATTGGGAAGATGTCATGGGGCCGGTGGTGAGACAGCCTCACCCTACCAGAAGCTACCTCTGCCACCTCCCAAAGGCTGCCTAAAATGCTTTGGTAAGAGCTTATTACAAGACTTGGAGTTAGATGTATGTAGAATGTGTGAAATGTTTTCCTGGCAGGGATGACATTTTAAACTTTTACATTACAGGACTGGGAGTCATATACAATATAGTACTTGAAAGCAGATTTTAAGAGGGGGATAGAAAAAAAACTATGAAGACACTGATGCTAAGAGTGGAAAGGAAAAGTTATCTAAGTGGTGATAGAGTACCAAGGATAGCTTTTTGTTACTTCTCAAATTTGCCAGCATTTAGTGGACAAAATGAATATTCTTAACCATACAAGTAATTTTAATATTAGGGCATGCTTTTCACTTTAAGAAATTACATATTAATATTGTGCATCATGAATATAGGGAATTTATTCATTAGAGCTCTAATATTTACTACTGTCTGATGTAGAGAAGTCTCCTCCCCTCTCTGGGCTTTGGTTTCATTCATTGATAAAGTAGCACAATATTCACAGGAAGATCTAAGTGCCTGTTACAATAGAAACAAATAGAAAAAGAAGAAGAATCGGCACAGTACCTGACCTGCTAACCTCATAGGTTGTGAAAATGCACTGAGATGGCTGGAAATAGAATTCTTTATAAAGTGGGCAAATTTATTGTTTATAGTTGGTGCTAGTGCAGAAAGGATGAGTGCTGTGAAGCATTGCCACTCAATGTCAATGGAATTTACTTTTGGTGGTGCAAAAAAGAAAATAAATAGATCTCTAGTCTCTTGTTTTCTTAAATTTTGAAGGAGCTTCAACCATGTTCAGAAAGGGAATCTTATTAACATTTGGGGAAAAACATTTTTACTGAAACTTCTTGCAGGTTTTAACTGTAGGCACACATATGTTTGTAAAGATAACTAGCCAATGAATGACATTTTAAAAGAGAGAAGCTGTTCTTTGAACATCTCCTCAAAGAATCAAATTGGAGAGAGTGCACATGCAGGTATTTTTTTGCTAAAGAGCATGATGTGTCTGAGGAGTTATGACCCACAGTATCTATTCCAGAGATCACTTGGCAATTGTAAATGCGGGGGGACAGGGGAACCTCTATTCTATGTTTGTGTAGCTCTTGAGCTGTGTAGAACTAATTGCTCCAACCACACCATGAGGTCAAGGGCAGAGCCCATTCCTTATAGATGATTCTGTCTCCTAGTTTGCAGCAGTAAATATTTATTAGATGAAAACTTGGCTGAGGCTCCATATTAAAGAGATGAGGAAGTGGCATCTCTTGGCAGATTTTAACCTCAAGGCAGGTTACCTGCTCCTGCATAATTGAAAGGAGACCAGGCCTGGCTTGAAGGCTGTCTCACCCTTTCAAAGAGATCAAGTAACAATGATGGCCCATGGGTGTCAAATAAAGAGCTTTATAGTGTTAAAAGAAACTTCAGCCAAATTAAATTTAAAAGTGTTTAACTGATCAATGAATGATTAGCGACTTGAGAGGCCCCAGAATCACAGCAGATTCACAGACACTACGGGGGTGCCTCGTGTTTAGAACAAATTTATAAACAGAAAGGGTAAAGTGACGTACAGGAATTGGAAGTGAGATACAGAAAGAGTGAGATTGGTTACAACTCAGTCTTTGCCTTATATGAATGCAGTTTGAACATTCAGCAGTCTATGAGTTGTTGAAGTATGGCCGCTGGAATTGGCCAGAACTCAGGTATTGTTACAGGTGCATACTTTTGAGTTTTCAAGTTGTCTGGCTATTAAGCTAGGTTACCGTTCATGTGCCAGGACTCAAATATAGAAGTAAAGAGTCCTTCTCAGGCCATATTTATCTTGCTCTAACAATAGTTTAAGAAAGACATGAAAAATTAAGAGAGTTCAGAGGACAGCTGTCATGATAAAGAGTTTAGAAAAGGACGTGTAGGAAGATGGGTCAGCGGTGGGGGATATTGGGATTATTTAAGCCTGACAAGAGGAGCCCAAATAAAGTATGACAGGTAGTGGGCATTTTGACATTTGCAGGGATGATTTTATAAAATATAGAGCAGATGTTCTCAAGGTTTTTTTTTTTTTTTGATGCCAAGGCACTCAGGAAAAGATTACGTTTACATGGTCGACGGTGTAATCAGGCGAGGTTGCTTAAGACTACTTTCTGCCCTAAGGCTTTGATATGCTTGGGTCCCCCTTTGCTAGGAAAGACTACTGAGATGAATAGTATCATCCAAAAGAGCAGGATGGCTTAATAGTAGAAAGGAGAGCCTCATTGCTTTTCTTAGTTTGCAACCCAGGAAGGGAAAGGATCCAGTGTGGAATGAAGGTGCTGCTCTCTGTTGGAATAGGGGAAGGACAGGTTGCAATTTATAATCATATTCATACATATTCAACATGTTTGGGAAAAGTATGCATATCTATATGGGAGCTGAGCCCACCATAATGAGTAAACATATGTAACATACATCCCATGTTTGCTTTGGAATGGGGTTTTAGCACTAACATGAGATAGAATTTGGCTCTTTACAACAAAGGGTGAACTACGGGATACAAAGGTGGTTTGTGTGCAGCCTCTTAGAAGCTGGCAGAAACTGGCAATCTGTAATTTTAATAGCTTATCAGAAAAGAATATTTGTAAGGCTGGTCCTCTGTTCAGTCAGAGCTGAGAGCTGATATGGTTAAAGGGATTTTAGTTATAGAAAGTTAGAAATTTGCCATGCCATCCAGGCTCTGAACCCTTGACCTATAGGGAACATTGTTTCCTTAACCCTAAGGTCTGTCTTAGTTGATAAAGGGGCATCTGTTTGGTCTCTTAGATCACAATAGCTTAGTGTACTGTAATCTATTCCTTGTTTAAGGGAGTTGCTTACTTGTTATGAAATTGATGTAGAGGGCTGGGACTCTGTATTTGAGATTGAGTTAGAAAATGGATCAAAATGACAAATATGAGATTGAAATAAAAGAAGGAAATAATCGATTCTGGATTTGAAAATACTGCTTGATATGTCACAGGATGGGTGTGTAGGAATGTTTTTAAAGAAAAGAACTTTTATCTGAGGAATGTGAGTCCTTTTAAGTTATCAGGCCTAGACAGACATTCAAATGAGACAGCAATCACAGCCCTACTTTATCCTTGAGCTGTGTATTCATCTCTTGAAATTGCTTGCTATTGCCACATGTAGCAGCTATACATTAACCCAATAACCCCACACCTGACACTATAACCCACACCCTATAACTTAACAATGTATAGCCAAACATTAATCAATATCACTTCATAAACCAATGAGAATTCCTGATAAGAACTTTGTATCTGCCCACTTCTAGTCCCATTTTTTGACTAAAAACCTGCTAGTTACTGCTGCTAATTGGAGTGTATATTTAGGGTGACTTGCATCTGTGTTCCCAGGTTGCAATCCTCAAGCTTGACTCAGATGAGCTCTCTATTTATGATAATTTTGTCTCACCTTCTTCCTTTTAGGTCGATGTATATGTGTGTTTGTGTATAGAGTATGTTCCAAAAGTGCTTGAAAAGTTTAAACTTCACTAACTTCAGAAAAATAAGTGCTATAATGTACCCCCAAGATCCCTTGAAGTTTAGTTACATACATTTATTGTACACTTACTTTCACTTTGTAGATGTTAAAAATGAATTATTAGTGAAACCATTCCCCAGAGTTAAAGAAACCAATGACCAACACAGATCATCAGTTTACAGGATAGCAGATTAAACAACAGCAACAACAACAATAACTTGCTAAAATGCCAAAACTCTCCCTGCTTGTGAGATTAAAAAACTGGCTAAAATGGATTAAAGTTGATATTGCCAACTGAAGTTTGCACAGAATAAGCTGGCTGACATCACAGCCCAAATTTCTGCCACGTTTTCAACTAACTCCCCACAAATGTGCACGTGCGATCCATGAGGTAGCATTAAAAACAACTGTGCATGCCTGAGGACTTTACAGACCTCCTTTCTTCCACTGATCACCTATTAATCCCAGAGACCACTCCCTAAACCTTTTCTAGCAAAATGACTGCATGAAAGCCAGCACACGTGATAGATTTGAGCTGGACTCCTGTCTCATGGTAAATTTACCATAAAAACCTGCTTTTCTCAAAAACCCAAATTGGACAGTGAGCTCCTTTTCTTTGGTAATATTAGTTTTAATCGTTTGAGTCAGTCTCTCTGATTGGAAATAGTTAAGGCTGACTTTAAAGTAAAAAATTTACTGTTGACATTCACAAAACAAAGTAAGTATAAAGGCACGTTAAGTTTCACATCTGGGCTAATGTAAGGCAAAAACATTCTGTAGATAAGAGGGATTGGAGGACTTTGGGATCCTGAGAGTGCCAATGCCTGGGTACAGGCAGTATTTCAGGCTTTCAAGGCTGTGGTGTTGGTGGGGTTGAAGTTACGGGCTCCAAACAGTAAAGCAGGACTTGGGTAACACCTGGTTTATGGTTGGAGCAAACAGAAAATTCCACTAAAATAAAGATATGACATGAAGAAAGGATAGAGTTGGGAAATGGAGTGGGAGGGTAGAGCAGAGGGACCTGGAGGGCACAGGAGGGGTGGGGTCTGCTAGGCTGGTGAGGTCAAGGCTGTGGACACACCCTCCTCTTATTGCTCCCTCCACCCTTAGAAACCCTTTGTGACTTCCATGCTCTATGATGCAGGCCTGGGCTTATAGTTAAGCCTGGGCAAGCTCAGGGCTCAGTTGCTTCAGGCAGCCATGCTATTCACCTCATGGGGAATATCCTCTCTTTTCTGAACAGCTGTACTGAGTCAGGGCTCAGCTCTGGCTTGGCATATTGCTTGGATATTGACCCCAACTTCATCCGCTTGACTGGGCTGGGGTTGTTTATGCTGTACTTGTTCTACGTGCTATTGACTCTCTATTTGTCACCCGCTGGGAAAAATAATGGCATCCCAATGGTAAGGAACCATGGGTGAACACCCAAGGGAGATTCCCTGTGGTTTCCCAATCCTATTCCCACATTTCTAAGTAAGTTTGGTTGGTACAGAGAGATGGGCTTAGATGGAAAGTCTGAAGAGAGGATAGAATTTCATCTTCTTAGGAAGAGGTTGGGTAGACTTAGGGCTTCAGGAGGACTAAAGTTTCCGTTTGAAGCTCATAGACTACCTATCTGGCTGTGATGGAGAGTTCCAGATAAAATTCCAAACACAGTAATTCTGTGGTCCCTGATTGGACTACATAGAGAGTGTGGTCTCTCTGAAGAAGAACAATTTCTGCTGAAATTTGATCATGAGTCACATTCCCATGTCACCTTCATTCAGTCAAGCCTTCCTTCATATTGGGTTGACCAGGGGAGCAACGCTGAGAGTTTCTGAGCAGAGTCTGGAGCCAGAGTTCTGTCTCTGGGACACTCTTCCTATGAGGGAGCACAGATGTGACTATTGCCCTCTGAGTCTGTGCCCTCCTTGAGGACTGCTAATGGAGCACATCAAGTGTGACTCTCACAGACAAAATCCTCTGAGTTTTTCAGGGAAGGAAAACTTAGAAATATTTGATCACCTTTAATAATTGATAACAGGAACATATTAGCATTAATTAGGGAGTCACATTATGCTTGTGTAATGAGTGAATGAATGAATGAGCTTCATAGAGAGTGAGATAAATGAGTCCCAGCCTCTCATTGTCTTTCATTTGTTCTCAGCCTCAGGGCAGATGCAGGAGGAGAAAGAAACGTGGGACATCTAAAGGTAAGGTCAGCCTGCTCTATCTGAGCTTCGAGGGTGACCCTTCCTGTTTCTGTAAGGAGGACTCAGGCCCATGATTTCTTAGAATGTCAGTTACTAGATACAGTCTCAGAAAACAGAGCACTCAGCAGAGAGGCTTACAGAAAAGCGATCAGACCTGAGACACTGCTCATAGGCCCTGCTCTGCCCATCCATAGGCATGATAGAGTGATAGACCTGGGCACTGGGTGTTGCCCAATTCGTGGGCAAGTTAGATATCAAGGAATGACTACTGGCTGGCTTGGAACCAGAGCTTCTGTCTCACAACTTTGCATAAGTACTTTGACTTCCTTGGTGCTCAGATTTCTCCTGGAGGTAATTACTGACATCTGTGTTTCCAATGGTGGTTTTGAGCATCACATGGAGTAATGTATGTGAAGGAATTTTATAAATGATGCCACATACACATGTGAACTTGTTAATAGTATCAATGACTATTTGCCCTTTTCTACTGATACTTGGGGCTATCGGAGTTGAATATCCCAAAGATCTTCTGCAGAGCGACTTCTGTATGATCCCTGTGCCTCTACTTTCATACATATGACATACTGTTATGGTTTCCCAGACCAGATAACCTTCCAGAAAGCAGCAGAAGAGGAAAGGAAGCTGGTTTCTTTTCTGAAAAGGTGATTAATTATTTCCTTCTGTCCTGTTCCCACCCCAGTCCTTTTTTTAGCAAGTTCTATTCACCTCAGGGATTTCTTGTAGCCTCCTGTAGTTGTGGGAGTGGGTAGCCATAGGAACGTGTATGTGAATGAATGTGTTGAGAGGCCCTAGAGTGCATGATGAGGTCATAGGCGGGGGGCCATGTGAAGCAGGTAGCAGGCACCAGGGTTCCCACCCCTGCCATGCTAACAGACCCTACTTTCCTTTTTCTGGTCCTGGCTGCAGCATCGGGCCTCCTGCTTTCTGCAGTCCCCTGGGCCAGCATCATAATACTGCCCGCTTTCATCGACTGTTATGCCCAGACCCCCTCTGTGTGGTGTGTAACAGAACAGCTGCTGAGATCCAGCGACTGCTGTGTTGGGAGTCCCTGAAAGATGCTGCTCCCTCTGTGTCCCCTTCGACTTCTGCAGCTTCTGAGACTGAGTCATTGTTCACTCTGGCTTCTGCCTCATCAGCCACCCCTCCAGCAGACTTAATAGTGTCCCCTTGTCCTGACCCTTCACCACCCCCCTTAATTCTCTCACCTGACCTGATCACCCCTTTAGATGACTTATTTTTACCCTCATCGCTGAGGGACCCTCTGCCACCAAAGCCTGTTCCTCCCCTGGATTCTAAGTTCCCTATAGACCATTCCCCACCCCAACAGCTTCCTTTTCCCCTTCTCCCACCACATCACATTCAGAGAGCAGAGCCCAGTCCCCATCCTGAAGTCAGTTTGTCTCTGAACACCATCTTTTCATTTGACTCTACTCTATCCCAAGATATGAACTCTTTGCCAAATATTTCCCAGGCCATTAATCCCTGTGATTCATGTACTTTTCATTACAAACCACCAAACTCTTCTGCTTCACGAATGCAAGATTGCACTGTGACTCAGTCTAAGGCAAATCTCACCATACTGAAGGCTTTGGAAAAAGAGACGTTATCTGTAGGTGGCTCTGGTGGGTCCACCACCTCTGCCCCTACAATCGGAGACATTGACCATTCATGCCCTACATCTGCAGAATTCTCCTGGTGGCAGCCTCATGCCAAGGACTCGTTTTCTTCCAATTTTGTACCATCTGATTTCATGCAAGAGCTCCTTAGCCTTCATTCTTCTGAAGCCTCTTTAGGGGAGTCCTCTGTGGTCAACCTCATAGCGCCTGTTAAGATCTCATTTCTCAGCCATGACATTCTGGCACTTCTGGAGAGACAAGTCAGAAAAAGGTGCGATTTTCTGATGTGTAAAGAAAGTGGAAAGAAACCAGGAACTTTCCCGGAACATCTTCGGCCAAACTACCAACTAAATTCTTCAGGGAAAATGTTAGCCTCAATTGCTGATAAGCATGGCTTGGCAGCCTCCCTTCCATTTTCGGCCAGTAATAGGAAAGTAGAGCGGCTGCGCATCCATCAGCAGCCCCCATATTCTAAGTGCTTTGAGGACCATTTAGAGCAAAAATATACCCAGCCTCTCCCCTTCCCTCAAACCCTGCCCCAAGGTCAGTCCCCGGCTCAAAATCCATCTCCGCTCACAGCCCAACCACCTAGTCCTCTATTCCAGATTGGGATCTGTGGAGTGTGTTTTCATAAATCTCAGAATGAGGCACAGTCTCTTACACCATCTGAAATTAATCATCTGGAGTGGAATGTGTTGCAGAAAATACTGGAAAGTGAGTGGGGTTTACCCTCTGTGGTTCAAAAATCCCAGGAAGACTTTTGTTCTCCAGCTCCCAGTCTTGCCTTCGTCAAGTCCTTTAAGGCTCGTGGTCCCATCTCCACTATTCCTGGAGATTTTCCACTCAGTGCTGAGCTTAGGAAGAAACTGGAGCACCACCTTCAAAAGAGGCTCATCCAGCACAGATGGGGTCTGCCCCACAGAATCCACGAGTCTCTGTCACTGCTACATCCTCAGAGCCCAATCTTGGAGATATCTGAGTCAGAGAACAGTGAGGGACCCTTACATAGCTCTTTGGTTGAGGGTCAGAGCCACAATGATCTCAAGAATTTTAAATCAAGGAAACCTAGAAGCTTCCAAAAGAGAAGCTCAAATATGCTTTCCCTAGAGAATGTGGGGAAGTTTCAGGGATACAGCCAGGAGAATGGCCCAAAAGATCATCTGTTGCACGAACCAGAGACATCTTCAGAAGAGGATCTGAGTGCTAATTCTGAGAGCAACCTAGAAGGTCATATGATGCATCTGCCAGGGAATGATTCAGGGGTGAGCCTAGGTCAGAAACAACTTGCAAATGCCCTGACAACACATTTGAGCAAGAAATTTGAGGAAATCAGTAAGAGTCAAGTGCCTGGGAGTGTGCGTAGTTCATGGCATTCAGTCAAGCAGACAATGTCTCTTCCTGAGAAATCCCATAGCAAAATAAACCATCGAAATTTGACAGCATTGGTGGGTGAGGACCACTGTGTTGATACTTCTCAGGAGATTTCCTTCCTTGGCTCCAACAAACAAAAGATGTTGGAAGCCCATATTAAATCTTTCTATATGAGGATGCTGTGGAATCTTCCCAGCAAGGTCCTTGAATCCATAGAAATCTGTAAATCTCAAGAGGACGTTTCCAGTTCCTTTTCCCATCTTGACTTCCCCTCCTCAGACACCTTCATTCCTCAGGAAGATTCCAAAGATGGTGCCTCCAGTCCCCTTAGAGGAAGCACTACAGATTTTCAAGGAAAAAAGATAGAAACAACAAACGTAGACATCCTGGATCATCCACACCTGGTCATCTCACCTGTTGACAAAGAACGGCAAGAGACCCTGAGAAGAGAATTATCTGATACTGATAATGAGCTTATAGAAACTGTCCAGACACCTGACAATGGCAGACAGACTTTTCTGCCCCCCACTCACAGCATCATAGATGAAGTCAGTCAGAAACAGAATGTAGTAGTCAGTAGGAGCAGCCCAGAGCTGGCCAGAATACAAGCTGGTGTTGGCAGTGCGTCAATGGATAAAAAAGTGAGTGTCAGTAATAACATGGAAAGGCTTCAGGGCAGTAGAAAGACCTTTTCTGTCACCAATGGGCCTATGGAAATGTTCAAGGAAGATGAGCTCAGTTTTCTTCAATCACAAACTAGAAACAACTTGACTACCAGCAAGTCAGGAAGCTCCTCAGTGATAAAGGTGAAAGAAAGCACTTCTCTTGAAACTGAAAATTTCTTACCAAAAATATTATTTCCCCAAGATCCTAAATCATCATCCCTTAAACATCAGATGCTGAGTGAGTTAAAGTTGGCCCAGGGGGAGCATAGCCAAGCTCAAACCCATTTCACTGACATGCCCCATGCCTTAGATAACTTGACTTCCAAGGGCTTACTGACTCATGCCCAGGGTATCTCCAGTGGGAACACGGCAACTTCCCAGGTGCTACATGTCCATGTGGAGGACAGAAGGATCCATGTGGAACAGCAACAGGAGCCCACGGTCCCTAAGCATGTCTTACAGATTTCCCAAGTTAAGAATTTCCCACCAGCTACAAAAAGAGTAAAATCCAAAGGAGGAGAGCTTGGTGGAGGGGATGCAGGATTGGGAATACCCCAACTCAGGAGAAAGAGCCATCCTGTTCAAAAGAAGACATCAGGGGAGGTGCTTGGGAGAAAATCTTCCCCACCCTTGATAACACAGCCTCCTCCTGACAACCTTTTCAGAGAATGGATGAAGACCTTTTTTCAGAGGTTTAAGAAACCCAGCATAATATGTGAGGAACAAGAATGTTCCCAGAAAAAGGGTAGCTCCCTGTCATCATCTGTGCAGGATAGAGGTCCAGCTAAGATTAGAGCTGCCTTTACTGGGACTACTGAAGCTCAGAAAGTTAAGAGAGACATTGGAAAGTTCCTAGAGGAGAAGCAGGAGCATAGAGATGGGATAGATATCACCTGTTTCCAAGAGCCCCTTTCCTCCCCAGTGGAGCTTAGAAAAGCTCAGCACAAGCCAATACTGCAGGCCAGAGCAAAGCCTGTCCAGGGCTATCCCTGCAGCTACATGGCTCCCTCCTGCAAAGTGACATGTAGCAAATCTTGCAGCCAACAAGCTACCTTAGTTGGCCAGAATTATCCGACAAGGATGAGACAGATCATAGACAAGAACAGACAGCCCCGGAAAGTTGAGGCATTTAAGGGCAAGATATTGCATCAAAGGCATCCCCAATCCATGCCCCACAGGAAGGCTGTGCCCCAACTAAATCACACTTGCCGGTGTCAAGTTGACTCGGTGCCTCCAGCCATCCCAACCACTGCTAAAAGCACTGTGTTTAGTGATGTGCCTTTAAGTACACAGTAAGTACACAGACAATGCTTCCAAAACATTTCCAGGGAGTAAAATTTCCCCCCACAAAATAATTCACTCCTGGTTGAGAATACTGATTCTCCCCAATAAATGTTCTAATAAGACTGATGTCTTTTCTGTGTATTGTGTTGGGGAGTATAGGTTTTGAGTAACCCAAGCTTGTGCTTTGGGAAAGGTAGGAGTTAGTTCAGTTCTTACTGACTGCCTCCTTTGACTTCTAAAAGGTGACCAATCTCCTGGAGCTGTTGTGGAGGAATGAGTTTCATGTGTCTTCAAAAGCCCCTTCAGTCCCTGATGAAGTCTGAGGAGTTGGACTCTTTTCTACCTCTTTGATTGAGACTTGCTGATATTGTATGGCAACCTGTACCTTCTTCCCCATTCACTGCTTCATATTCTTTAGAGCAGTGAGTAAGACAGGCCTTCCATATGTGAAGAGAGGGTCAAGGACAGGTATATTTTTCAGAAATAGTGGTTTAATCACTATTTTAAAACGTTTTCAGTGACCAGAGGATCATGTAAGTTGCTGGGAGTGTTGGGGGTACTGCTGGTTGGGGTAGGGTGTCAGGAACACTGTGGTTGCTGCTTAAGATGATGACAAGCAGGGCATGCTCATGATTTGGGGAAACATATTTTGACCTCAACATTAAGGTTTTTCCACTAAAAAGTCACTTTCAGGAACTAGTTCCACTCCCTGGGTATTTCCTGGATTGATGACATTTTTAATGAGCAAAGAGATCACCTAGCTGTCTGTGGCAGCAACGTTGACCAGGCAACCACCTACCTCATAGCATAAAATAAAGGTGAGAGTAAGGAAAGATGCCTTAGAATAAAAGAGAAAGTAAGAAAAAAGTGAAGATAGGAAAAGATGACCCTGCTGGTGGAAAAAAGTTTGTGCCCCATCATGTCCATATTATGACCCTTTTTCAATCCAGATCTAGGCACCACCCCCTTGAGGTTTACCAGGGCACTGCAGAGCTTACAGATGCCATTTTGGCAGTGGTGTACACGGGGCTGTTCTTTAACTACTACAACAGTATCTGCAGGACTGTTGTCAAGCATGGCATCTCTCCCTTTGGGGAAGGTGATCTTTGTGCCTTCTCTCCAGCCATGTTGATGGCAACATGTAAGATCTTCCCTTAGTGTATACGATTCACCTATCAGGATGGAGGTGTCACATATGATCTTCACAAGCTTCGTGGAATATAATAGATATTGTATAGAACACCCGCAGCTTATGATCCAGAGGTGAGTCCTGGACTACTGAACTATACATGAGGGTTATAGATATTTGGGGGCTGACTATGGACCTTTACAGAATGTTCCCTATGGCCAAGGTTAGTACATAAGCACCCTTAAAATATTAGGGGTTTGAAGAGAAGGGGACTCCACTTATACAGACTGGGATTAAAAAATGAGATGAGTTTTTTAGAGGGCACTTGGTGTAGGTTTCCTAGAAAAATTTGTGAATCCTTGGTGTCAAAACAAAACGAAACAGGAAAGATGGCCACTACAGTTTCCTCACTCAACTGTCCTTCTCTTTTTCTGTCCGTGCTTATGCTACTGAATCTGCCATGTCTGAAGCTTAGGATTGCAGAAATAGTTCAGGTTCCATGAAGGCCTTAAGAAGGACAAAATTGGGATGAAGCCCAGGGTAAAGAACTTGTGGAGGTAGAGAATCCATGGAGGACCCAAACATCCACCTGGATAGACTTGCTAATAACCTGGTCTTTTAATTCCTCTGTCATTCCATCTCAGGGTTCTTGAACTCCATTCCAGTTCAGTTACTGCCAAACCCAGAAGCTATCATCAGAAACATCTAAGTTATCATTGGAAACACCCATGTTTTGTGGAGGTAGAGTCTTGCTCAATTGCCCTGGCTGGTGTGCAGTGGTATGGTCTTGGCTCTCTGCAACCATCTACCAGGTTTAAGCAATTCCCCTTCCCCAGCCTCCTGAATAGCTGAGATTAAAGGCACATGCCATGTGCCTGACTTTTTTTTTTTTTTTTAATAGAGACAAAGTTTTACCATGTAGGCCAGGCTGGTCTAGAATTCCTGGCCTCAAGTGATCTTCCTGCCTTGGCCTCCCAAAGTGCTAGAATTACAGGCATGAGCCACCATGCCCGGCCTCATCAAAACCACCTCTACATCTGTAATAATACAGCCTGACATTCCACCCTTTGACCTCATCCTCCTATCATTCCAGCTTAGGCTCTCAATTTGTCAAATTTTCACACCGGGTCATTAATTTTCCTACTGATCTATCTACTATGTTTTTATCTTAATTTTCTCCCTCTTCAATGCAGACTTCATGGTCTATCTTACAGCCAATATTTAAAAAGCTCTACTTGAAATATGCCTCATCCAATTTCCTTTAATCTTTTCTGTCGGACAAAATCCTATCTCTCTGCCTTTTCCAGAAATGACCTATAAATGACCTATCACTATTGGATTAAATCTCACAATCAAGCCTACTGACACCATGATAAATGCACGGTCAACCTTAGCACTACCTGGAAATAATTCACTCATTCATCTAAAAAATACTTATCCTGTGCTTACTAACAGAAAACAATACAAATGGAGCTTTGGTCATTTTTCCTTAGTCCACTTTCTCACTCCTGCTACTCAAATGTATTTCAAACCTTTGTACTTTTCTCAAGTTTAGGCCATCTCCACTTGCTCAGCAGATGTGCTGGCCTCACCGTTTACAGAGAAACTAGAATTCATTGGATGGAAATGTGTCATAAAAAATTCTTCAAAAAACTGTATCGATCCCTCATTTGTTTCCTTCCTAGGTTTCTTTATTTTTTTCAGGCAGAGTCTTGCTCTGTTGCCCAGGCTAGAGCACAGAGGTATGATCTCGGCTCACTGCAATCTCCGCCTCCTGGATTCAAGCAATTCTTTTAACTCTATCTCCTGAGTAGCTGGGATTATAGGCATGTGTCACCACACCTGGCTCAATTTGTATTTTTAGTAGAGATGGGGTTTCACCGTGTTGGCCAGGCTGGTCTTGAACTCCTGACCTCAGGCGATCTGCCTGACTCAGCCTCTCAGAGTGTTGGGATTACAGGTGTGAACCACCACACTTGGCCACCTTCCAAGGTTTCTATCTTCAGAGGAATTATACTTCCTGAAATGTCTTTATCGAGTGGTTGCTAAAGTCTAGTCTTGATGGACTGATTTATTCTTGCCTTATAATAGGTAAAGAAGTATATGCTTTAAATGGATGAATTTTGTGTTATGTATACTATATTTTAATAAAACTTAAAGGATTTAAGAAGAATAAGTTCTTGAGGATAACGAGAGTACAAGAGCATACACCAAAAAGAGTTAACACATTTTTGGAAGATGAAAACCTGGTGTAGGAGAGATAACCAATTTAGCAAAGTAGACAAAGCACTAGCTATTCTTATTGCTGCTTCCTCCTCTTCATGAGGCACTGAACATGTTTTATTTCTTAAATCCTTTCATTGAAAAGGTGATTAAACATACACAAGAGCAGGCAGAATGATATAACTCCCCATGTACCCACCACCTAACTTTCACAATTATCATTTGGTACAGATGATTCATCCTATCTTTTACACTATGATTAAAGTACAAACGTCCATTTAAACATTTTGCTATCCATCTCTTAGAAGATATGCCATGTGCCAAATGTCAGTGCTGTCACATTCCTTTGATACTTACGACATGAGGAACACACTTATGTACAACAGATGTACACAGCATTGATGACAAACACATTGTGCTTTACTGGCTTTGGCAGTTAGTCAGTTCTCCTTTAAGTCAACCTCAAGGAGTCATTTGAATTCCTACCCTGAGTCCATACAAGAAGCAATCATACAGAGGCCAATTCAGTGCCCAATATTTCAGTCCCTTAATCACAAAGTAACTATAACATGAAAAAATATGTAACAGTAGAAAACTACATATTGCTAAAAACTTGAGATTGCCACATAGATATTTTCAAATATTTAAAAGAAATGTTTTGCTGTCACACATTTAAAATGAGTTTTTGTGTTTCTGCTTAAATAAGTGGATCAAATTTAGTTGTTATAGATAACCTACTATGATGGCTGGAATAAAAAAGATGAGTGTTTGAGATAATTGGGAGAAATTGGAAGCCTAATCATTGAGAGTGGGAATGCAAAATGATGCAACTGCTTTGGAAAACAGGCAGCTACTCAAAATGTTGGCATATAACCTAGCAAATCCACTCTTAAGTATATACCAAGAGAAATAAAAACTTGTGCCTGCAAAGAAACTTGTACACAAAGGTTCATAGCAGCATTATTCACATAGCCAAAAGATGGAAACAACTAAAATGTCCATCAACTGATGAATGTATAAACAAAATGTGGTATGTCCATACAACAAAATATTATCCAGTCATAAAAAGGAATAAAGCATTAACACATGGTACAACATATATAAACCTTGAAAATTTTATGCTAAGTGAAAGAAGCCAGTCACAAATGACCACATATGATTTCATTCTGATGTCCAGAATAGAAACATTTACAGAGAGAGAAAGTAGACTTAGAACTAGATAAATGAGGTACAAGAAGTGTAATAGCTAGAGGATATATGGTTTCTTTTTGAAGTCATATAAATGTTTTTAAAATGACTGGTGGTGGATGTACAACTCTGTGAATATAAAAATCACTAAATTATACACTTTAAATAGGTGACTTATATGGTACATCAGGTGTATTTCAATAAAACTTTTAAAAACCAAAGGATTTAAAAAATAAACGCTTGATGTGACAAGGACAGGAGAGGATACAACAAAAGGGGTCAATCCATTTTTAGAAGGTGGAAACCTGGTAGGGGACATGTAATTGACTTAGTGACTGAAAACCAATTCACATCATATGTCAGTCCATCCTCACACTGCTGTAAAGAACTTTGAGACTGGGTAATTTACAAGGAAAAGAGGTTTAATTGGCTCATATTCCAAAGTTGTTTAGGAGGCATGGCTTGGAAGGCATCAGGAAACTTACAATCGTGGCAGAAGTCAAGGGGGAAGCAAGCACATCTTCACATGGCACAAAAGAGAGAAAGCTAAGAGGAAGCACTATACACTTTCAGACAACCAGA